GACCATTTTTCCAGAAGCGCATTTGTGAGGTCAGGTACTGATGTTGAAAGAGAAGGCCGGACTCGCAGTCTCCGCTCTAATTCATCCCGAAGGTGTTCTATCGGGTTGAGGTCAGGACTCTGTGCAGGCCAGTCAAGTTCCTCCACCCCAAACTTGCTCATCCATGTCTTTATGGACCTTGCTTTGTGCACTGGCGCGCAGTCATGTTGGAACAGGAAGGGGTCATCCCCAAACTGTTCCCACAAAGTTGGGAGCATGAAATTGTGCAAAATGTCTAGGTGTGCTGATGCCTTAAGAGTTCCCTTCACTGGAACTAAGGGGCCAAGCCCAACCCCTGAAAAACAACCCCACACCATAATTCCCCCTCCACTAAACTTTACACTTGGCACAATGCAGTCAGGGAAGTACCGTTCTCCCGACAAACGCCAAACCCAGACACGTCCATCAGATTGCCAGACAGAGAAACGTGATTTGTCACTCCAGAGAACACGTCTCCACTTCTCTAGAGTCCAGTGGCATCTTGCTTTAAACCACAGCGTCAGACGCTTTGCATTGCACTTGGTGATTTAAAGCTTGGATGCAGCTGCTCGGCCATGGAAACCCATTCCATGAAGCTCTCTACACACTGTTGTTGTGCCAATCTGAAGGCCACATGAAGTTTGGAGGTCTGTAGCTATTGGCTCTGCTCTGTGCACTTCTGCATGTCCTGACCCCGCTGTCATTTTACGTGGCCTAGTGGCTGTTGTTCCCAGTTGCTTCCATTTTGTTATAATACCACTAACAGCTGACCGTGGAATATTTAGTAGCAAGGAAATTTCACGGAACACCTGAATGCAATGATTTGGAGGGGTGTCCCAATACTCTTGGCAATATAGTGTATACGCCAAACCAGCACATCTGTGCAGGTCTGGGTGCCTGCACTCAAACACCTGACCGATAAGAAAATTTGACTTCAAGGACAAAAGGATTATATAGACAATATCTAAAATGACAAATATGAAATATAAATGTGCTAAGGCACAATTTCTAATGTTGTAAGTGCACTGACTACCTTGTTGCTATTCCACCCATGATCATAAGAGTAGAAATATGGCAGAGCCACCAAAGATATACTGTAGCTAGCGGCCATATTTTCTTTACTCTTTAAATGCAGCTATTGGCTCTTAGAATGGCTCAGTCCTTCATTCTAGATGAATTTGTCCACAAGTGGAAGTAACCATTGGCTAGAGACAAGAGGCATACTCCTTCAAAAGTCTACATTTTACAAAATGGCTGCCATCAAAAACATTTTAATACAACAATCCTGCCCGATTGGTGATTTTATTTTGTTATACTGTGATAACGGCAGGTCTATGGGTGAACAGCAAACATCTCTCTGAATGGGGATATGTAGTCCCAGAGGGTGAAGCATCTTAACTTTCCGCTTTACACAAGTTTTTTTTTAGCAAAACTGTGCTAAAGCAAAGATAGTCGTGTTTACATACTAGGGATGCACCGATACCAAGTACAGTACTCAGTACAAGTACACATACTTTTCGAGCTCCAAGACTAGACTAGAGAAAAATTCAAAAGTTAGGAGGCAGCTGTCATTGTTAAGGAGCACACGGAGCTCCTGGGATTTGTACATCCCTGTTTTAATGTATGATTTTATTTTTATAAACATATAAAGGGATGCACGGATACCATTTCTGCGAGTATAAGTACTGATACTTGTCCAAGTACTCACAGATACAAGTACTGATACATTTTTGTTTATTGTCATGCGACAGTTTTTCTAAAACAATATTGACTAATGATATCAGGACAGTGGTAGAGCGCCAGAGGCAGGTCCTAGCTGCAACCCCTGCAACCCTGGTAGTTCTCGTGAAAATGCCAAGTATCGGCACTGGTATCGGTGCATCCCTATCAGATACTCTAAGGGCATTCTACAGAAGCTGTCTGGACAGCTTTTACTTAGTATGACCTAGGCTCCAGACAGTTCTGGAACCAGTCATCTGACACACAGAAGCACTTTCAATTCTGGGGCAGGGATGTTACTGTCTGATAATGCAGAGTTGAGCTCTGCTTGGAACTAGGGTCACTTCCCGGAGAAGCCCCCAGCACCAACTGAAGCCTTGGCTGTGACTGGTAAAAGCTGTCCCAACAGCTCCTCTTAAGGTACAGGAACTTCACCCATATTTCATTAAAATGACTATTAAAGTGTCAGTCCACACAAAATTAATATTTCCGTTTGAAGCCAATGCTATCGAGTAAACCATTGGCATTTTCTTTTCATTTCTCAGGGAGTCTCTCGGTTAATTTTTGCACTCAAGTTCCTATGTCTAAACACCTGCTACAGTAACAATGGTCCAACGCTCCCCAAGATATTTTTACATTAATAATTTCTATTTATTTTGGATAATGCCGGAAGAGAAGCGGTCACATGTAAAAAAGGTGGCCAGGAAAAAACACAACTCCCAATGGACAGGAGTTGGAAGACTATGGCAGGGAGATCTCACTATTAGAGCAGCCAAGAGAGGAGAAACCAGGGACTTACTTTGCCCATTAGGCTCTAGCCATGTATAAATTACACTTTTGGGTGAACGGGCCTTTAATGGACATTCAGGAAGGTAACTTTTGTTTCGAATCTGATAAAGGAAGCTGATGTTGGAGAAATATAAGGGCTGCCACTGTACATGACCTGATGAAAATTCCGGTAAACGATCATTTTCAGAAGGTAAGCAATGGCAACCTACATATGTCCCCCCAGTACATGTTTTTTAAACTTTTCTTTTATACATCTAGAGAGAATTTGTAAATACTGCCTCAGATGTCTCCGAAAAAACAGTTATTTCCTGACTTTCAAGACACAGTCTAGTGTCATGGAAGATCCTCCATTAAAATAATGAAAAAAAAATAATTATAAAGTTATATATATATATATATATCAAAAAATAGCAATTTGTGCATGTAATTAAAGTGACATTAAATTTAGGAGTTAAATCTTAAAAATGCATTCCAGTACCCCAACTATTAACTAATATGCATCTTATTTGTGTGTCACTCGGCTGTAGATCCTCAAATCATCTCTGAATTGGTGCCGAAACCTTCCTTTGGGATGAAGGGTGGCTACTTTTGTTCCTCATGGTCCCTGTGTGTGTTGTAAAGTAGTCACCACTCCAAGCTCACTCCTGTGATGGACCACAATCTCAGTACAAATTAGTAAACTAAATATGAGAGTGTAGTCCATCACAGTAGTGAGCTTGGAGCGGCGCCTATTTTACAACACACACAGGGACCATGGGGAACAAAAGTAGTCACCCTCCAGAAGAAAGGACAGTGCCAGCACCAATTCAGAGATGACTTGAGGATCTACAGATGAGTGATACACAAATAAGATACATTTTTGTTAATAGTTGAGGTACATGAATGTATTTTTAAGATTTGATTCCTGAGTTTAGCGTCAGTTACACAAATTACACCACAAGGTGTCTCAGTGTTCCAAGAGTACCTTATCTCTCATGAGACAGAAGGTCACAGGTGATACAGATGTAGCGACAGTAGCAACATTAAACACATTGTACCTCATTTAAATGCATGTAGTAAGACTTGTCCCTGACATACTGCGCAGAAACCAAGTCAGTCTTTACAGTATTGGGAAATAAAAGGCAGGAGCCAATAAACTGATAAATGACTTGAGATTTTAGCCCTTTCACGTTGACCAGCTTAGGGAGCTGGAAACAAGTTTGTAATGGAAGAAAAGCTGAAGAATGGAGGGTGTTTAACATAACTGCATGTCAGAAGTGTATCATTCATGTTTTAGCAGCTCCAGCAAAGAAAACAAGTCATTAAAAATAGGCATGATCACGTATTTAAAGAATTTCCAGAAAAAAGGAAATGCATTTTCTGAGCCTCTCCATATAGAGCTATGGAACAGTCCCCATTTTACACAGATTAAATACAGCTGACTGTTTCTTACAATTGTAATTGCAGCACAGGAAAGCTAAAGAACAGCAGAAAGGGGGTTCCATTTTGTGTTCAATCTCAGAATGGGTACAAATTTGAGATGTTCCAGTTTTCTGGAAATCTGCTTTGATACGGACCTATACTCAAATGTAAACAACGTTACGTCAGCGGTCCTGCCAGGGCAGAAACAAAGATTAATAGGGGAGCTAAACCCTAATTTTCTCCAGGAAAGTACTTCTGCAGGGTTGCTGCAGCAATAACCAAATGCCTAGCTATGCGACATTTGTTTTTCAGGAAGATCAGAGTTCAGACTGAATCCTTTTCCCCTTTAACAGAAATCATGTGACCACAAGAGGGTGTAAGACCCAGTTTGCCCAAGCCCACTAAAAACTGAGTGCCACCTCTTCCGGACCCAATCATTTGTGGAGAGGTGCTTTCCCTGCCTCATAGCTATGTGTCACAAAGGGGAGGGGGAATTCCCCCTCAACAATTTCCACCCATGATTGGGTCAGTAGGAGTGAATGTTGGTCACGGTTTTGAGCAGGGTTAGGCAAACTTGGTTTGCATCAAGCCCAGGCTCGGCTCTATAGGTTATAGCAGCAGTCCCAGAAGCAGAATTTCTCCAGGAAAATTACTTCTTAGTGTGTTAGGCAGAGGCATCCAATTGGTGGCAATGCCTGCACACATACCCTTCACATGCTCAGAACAAATATTGGGATTGCAAGTAGAACATATCCAGATATGTTGACCAGAAAGTATTACCAAGATGATTTAGGCAATTTAGCTTAGAAAGAGATGAAAACAGATTGGGTTGTGTCCTGGGTGTTGACCTACTTTTAGATAACATTTGAGTATACAGCCTCTAGAACGGTAAGGTTCCCATGACAGCAAAAATATTTAAAATGTAAAAAGCTATAAATTATTGCCAAGTCTAAACCCTGTCTACTCTAAAAGATGTATTTCTTAAAAAATAGGAAGACCCAGTGTGAGAGCTGAGATAAATTTACTGATCAAAGAACTGGAGTAAGTTATCTAGAACGTGAATGCATTCAGACCTGTAGCAGGCTGCTGCTGCTGGGTCAGGGTTGCAGCCATCGCCACAGCTGCTGCGTTTGGTACGCTGCCAAAGGGTGCGGGTCCAGTGGTTATGCGGGGGGCACTCTGCCACTTTGACACTTTGGCTTCCACTTTTCTTGCCTCAAAAACATCAGTGGAATCACCCAAGAAGGTCTTCCGATAGCCAAGGTATTTTTCTTTCAGCATCTGTAAGCAAATGGAATACATTTTGCTGAATATGTCAGACATCACACAAAGTCAAAGAACTGCTAATGATATTCAGAAAACATTGGAACTGTAATAGAATTCGTAAACCCTCTCCAGCTGTACATAATGTTAATAGTGAGATTGAAAAGGTTATTTTACATTGCTTCTACACCCAATACAAAAATTCTAGTTCTCTCACGTTGGTTCAAACAGGAGGTTAGTTGCTGGGACCATGAACACCCAAGCCTGTATTTCCACAGGTTTACAGTCAAGTCTTTCTAGAGGTGCCCACACACCTTGCGATTATCGTACGATAATCGTGGAAAATCCCGTGATAATCGCAAGGTGTGCGTCCGTTTCTACTGTACGGTCGCACGCCTTTTGTCTTACGAACATGTTTGAAAACCTGCCAAGAATCGCAGGATTGTCGGCGGGTGTGTGGAATGCTCGTAAGTATGGATAATTTAAATGATCCGTAGTACAACTACATGTTATGTACTATGGATCATGATTTAACCTATGCATGTTAGCAGGGGAGAATTGTAATTCCATCACTGCAGTGTACGGGACATATGTACTGCGGATCATGATTTAACCCATTCATGTTAGCAGGGCAGAATTGTGAGCGCCTCCCATAAGCTGAGCACCGAGATGCGATGAAGCGATCCTGCCCAGCGACGACTATGAGAGGCACCGCGTGAGGCAACAGGGATCGGCGTGAAACTGAGTGAGGGAAGCTGGGACGGGCTGGCTGTTAATCTATTGCTATAGTGCACTGGACGTGTGTAATGTATATGTAGTACATATATACAGCACACACCTCCACTACACTCCAGCAATAGAGTTACAATTCTCCGCTGTTAACATGAATAGGTTAAATCATGACCCATAGTATAGAACATGTAGTTGTACTATGGATCATTTAAAGTCACCTATCCCTTTAAGAAAAAGTATTGGTAATTGGTATCGGCAAGTACATGAGGGGAAGTACTTGTACTTGGGCCTGAAAAAGTAGCATCGGGACATCCCTACTCGTAAGATAAATGCCGAGCGGGCCGGTGTGCGCAAGCGCACACTGCCCGTTCAGCATTGCGGTCATCGGAAGCTCGCCCCTCAGCGGGGCGGGCTTGCGATTATCGCAAGTACGATCTGCCTGTCCAAGATAGGCAGATTGTACGTTTTTTTAATGACCTTACAACCATCGCAACACAAAAGTCTTGCGATGATTGTAAGGTCTATGGGCACCTTAAAGATACAATCAGCTTAGAGGTATTTAATTAGCATGGCAACCAGGTGTACAAGATAACTACCAATCTGGTCATGGGGGAATTGATCCGTTCCGGATGGTGAGCGGGATGGGGTGGGTAAACGTGCATTTTATGTTTTACAACTCCTCGAATGAACACAGGAATGAATGCTATTGAGTATTCTTGTGTCTATTCATAATGGAAGACATAATAAACACTGAGCCATGTGTTTGCTTTATCTTCAATTTTGTGAATCAACACAGAAGCGCCCTGTACTGAGCATTACTGGGTTCATCACTAGGTGCAAGGCTGCAAGAGAGGAGATTAAGAACTCTGTGTCCTCAAAATCTCTTTCTCCAAGGTTTTTAGATCCTTGATAATTCTGAAAAGCCCTCCGACACCAACACACTAAGGGCCTAGTAACACCAGCGGGCACACGTTATGTATGGTGCGCATAACGCACAGGCTGCAGTGCATTGTTACATCATAGTGCTTGCTTTTTAAAAAAAAAAGTTTTAAAATTACATTTAGTCAACTATATGCATGGCTGTACATTGCACGTTACCCCAAGGCTGCATCATTTTATCTCACAACAACCTAGTCCACATATGGTGCTGCAGATTCCAATCTGCAGATTTTTAGCACAAGTTGCTTATGTACAGTTTTGCGTACCTTTTTTTTTTAACATTTCGCAAAAAAGACTCAATTTATAATGAACAAATACATTAGTTACTCATTAACTCAATAGAGTTGCATCTCATCTTTTATCTTGGATCTAGTAGGAATTTTGAAAGTTGTGAGTGTGCAATAATAATGATTTTAGTGTAATTTTAAAATCGAAAATATTGTTTAGATAAACATTTGCGCAACAACCATGGGATCTACCATATTTTTATTCTATGGGTCCTGAAAGCTGTAAGTGAAAAAAAAAAGTGTAAAAAACATAAAATTGATCAGGCCAGCTAAAAGTCAAGAGTTCAGAGCAAGGCTTGGCAGTGAAAGAGTTAGAGGAACTTTAGGGATGCCTTCACCTGCACTAGATGAGAAGGCCGAATGACATACCACTGCTGGAGCAGAGGGGGAAGAGAGGTGAGCACTAAAGCAGGCCATACACCTTACAATTATCTGCAGATTTTCTGTGGTCAGATGGAAAAAGTGCAACAGATTGGCCCAGGTTGAGATTACTCCATCCACACAGTTAAGTGTAGATGGAGGAATCTGTTGCACCTTTTCCATCTGATGTATGGCCAGCTTTACTGCCACAGTACTGAGGATTAGATGAGCATCTTCTGTATTCCAGCCCCTAAACTAAAATGAGCAGTTAACCCTTGCAGTGCAGGCATAGCCCCACGGCAAGGATTAGTTTGTTTTAAATATCCAGAGTTCCTCTTTAAAAGGTCCAACAGGGAGCCACAGAAATGGTGGGACCTGAAGGCAAAGATTAACATAACAGCTTCAGCTGCCTGTATTTACCGATCAGTTTGACATGTGGTTTTCATTAAGGACAAGCTCTGTGACAAAAACATACTTTAAAAGCGACCACGCACAGGGAAATCAGTTCTTAAATCCTTGGAGGTTTGTCACATGGCTTCCCTAAGTATATGAATTGTATTTACAATGTAGAACTTAACTTAGCCTCCAGGACATTACTGTGTGTTAACCAATTGTTTTTTCCCCCCTGCGGTGTCCCCCAAGTGCATGCTGCTGCCAGGACTGCCAACAATTTGATGGCTGCAGTGATTAATCAAACAGGAGCATCAATGGATTAGCTCTTGCTCTCTGAACAAGATTTCAGCTATCATTGTTGCTCCGTTTTGAATAATCACAGTACATGCATGCAAAATGTCACCTAAATCAGGAGATGCTGTTCACCGCTAATGCTCACATCTTTATGGGGAACAAATTACATATTACACATTACAACTCGGAGTTCTGAAAAAGCAAATGCCTAACCTTAACATTTTCGTGTATGGACTGTAGCTGGGCTGCTAAGGCCACAAATGTCTGGTAGAGCTTCTGCATTGCCGAAGATAGGTCTGAAAAAAATAAATAAATATTTGTTATTACCAGAAATAGACCGTACATTTTGGGAGCAGTCTGCCCAGTCTAGTAGACACTCATTTTCAGCAGCAGCTGGAAAAGGGTTAAAAAATAAGGTTGCCCTTGCAGTTGTTAAAAAGGCAAAAAAAATGGTTTTGGGTCCATTTTTCTTTTTTTAGAAGTATATAAATACTTTAAAAGGCACACTGGCCACACAACACCACAAATTAGCCAAGACTTGGTTATAATGAAAATAGTAATAAAACACTTTTCCAGGGCAACCTGTGACAAAAATAATCACTCGTTCAACTTCTAGCTGGTAAAACAAAAGAAATGTTCAATTTAACAAGGCAAAAAGATAAATCAATATAAAAAAAAAACTTACATGAATAAAAATTAGGAGAAAGTAGTAAAATATACTCTTGGCACTATACCATGGTATACAACCCCATTATCCTAGGTACAGGCAATGTCGCTCAACCTCACTGTGGATCCTGGGAAAGCTACTCAATTTCTTGGAGGATTCCACATCTTGTGGCAATGCACCCCTGCACAGTGTCTACACAAGGGGAACAAGCAGCTACCAAATTGCATGACCTTGGATTTTCAGACAGGGCCCATTTTAACAGCTGCTAGTCTTCTTTATAAGCTGCATGCACGAAATCCTTTCATTTCATGTGGAGCACACCGGGATTACAGAAACTCCGGTCAATCTGATGTGGAAAGAACAACCACCTTCCATGGTTGCTGGCTTCTTCCATTTCCAATTTTCTATTGGCTCATTACTGAGCTAATTTTTCTCACTAACCAACAGATCTATGCATGTGCTTGTTGTAATAGATATTACTCTCTAGAGTTGCACTCCACATGGTAATGATGGTTTCAAATTTGCCCTTAGTCAGCCTTTTGCAGTCCACCATCACTGCACAGTATTTAGTGTGCCGTGAATAAGCTGCCCCCCCTCCTTTCTATCCTACATTTGTTCAAAGCAAAATATGGTGGAAGAGGTAGGAGATAATACACGGTGCCACATTATAAAAAAAGAAAGGGCATTACATTTGTCAGCATAATTCACACTCAGTAATACAGACCCTTCCAGTTTCCCATACCTTGTGGTGTTAGGTGTAAGCTGTTTGCTTGTGTTGCCAGGTGGTTTTCCAGCTCTTCAATCTGCTGCCTGTATTGCTGTAACTGGACTTCAAACTGCTCCACCAAAGCTCGGAAGTAGCTAAAATACACATTATATGACAAGATAGAAGTGTGTGAAATAAATCTCCTGACACAATGAAGGGAGAAAACGCTGAGCCATTAAGTATTAACTCTTTATGGTGCATGCAATCATGTTAACCTTTTACATTTTCTTACCCCAAGCATTACATGGTTGCTTAAAGAGCATGGAGAGCCAGTAGAGACATCCCAGGATGATGAGAGGCCACACACCAGTCTCAATGTGCCCAACAAATGCCTGACTTAAAGAGTTAAGGCAGGGGTCTCAAACTCAAGTCGGGGGCCACTGGACAAATTTTTTTGTCGCGTGGGGGCCGCTACTATATACGGTACCAGTGTTAATGTCTGCATATGTTACAAGCGGCAACTGTCACCCATTCAAATTAACGATCGGATGACAGCTGCTGCATGTAAACGCCTGCACACCGCATGTAATCATATGTGAAAGGATTACATGCAGTTAGGAATCAATCACTATCAGTGGTTACACAATTGTTTATCCAGGGATAGTGATTGTTTTTGTAACTGCATGTAATCATATAACATACCATTACATGCAGTGTGCAGGCGTGTACATGCATCGGCTGTCACCCGATCATTAAATTTGAATGGGGGACAGTTGCTGCATGTAAACGTTCCAAGCCCCCTCACCTGCTTTCATCCGTGCAGGGAGGAGGCACATAGTCGTTCCCGGGTGATCTAGCGGTGATCATTAGGAAGGTCTGCACTAGACCTTACTAATGATCCATCATTCGGCCAGAGCTCAGAACTGACAGAGGTCCGGCCGGAGCTGACAGGGGCAACTCTGCGGTCTGCATCCGTCGGAGATGAGTTAAGGGATCCACACAGGTTTTTGTTTTATTAATGTGGAGTTGGTTATGCTGTTAATGGGAAAGCAATATTTGCAAAGGTTCTTCATCAAAACAGATGCCGGATCCTTACAAGTATTTTCTCACTCTGCCCTTTGGTGAGGAGCCTTGTGTCTCACACCTTACTGCTCTGGCTATTAGGGTTGGCAAGACTGGTAGACAGTGGACTCTGCTTTCACCGGCTTGTGTGCCATTATTGAAAACACCGCGCACAAACAGCAGTTTTTCACATGTGCAGAATGCTCACTCCGACAGCTGAATGGCCAGACAGCGCAGCAAAGGTCGAAAAGTTACAAAGGCTCATAAATAGCCGACTAAAACTTACTCTGATGGTACTGTATTTTCATGCTGAAGACCCGGCGGCGTCTTCTGTGTTCTTAAAGCTATTTCAGCATTTTTAAGTTCCTAAAAGTTTGACAGAGAACACACATTCAGTGCATAAAAAGATAAGACAAAAACACACTTTTCTTACAAAGGACTTTCTGCTTTATCAATAGATATATTGAATACCCCAAATAAATAGTAAAAGTCAAGGGGACACTTTCTTCCACATTCAGGTTTCCAAGGTGTAATTAATCCTTTGCTCCTAACGTGTACTAGTGCTTCTTCTAGCAGTAGAGTGCAGCCAGTCTGTCATGTCTGAGCTCTCAAAAACTAGCATTTAATCAGCAGCAGTAATGTTATAGCTTTGGAACATCTCACTAGAGCTGCAGTTTGCTCCTGTGATGGACTACAATCTTAACACAAACTAGTTGTCAATCACTGGAGCCTTTTTTTTTCCATCCGATTAATCGAACTTAATAAATCGGCCAACTAATCGATTATGAAAATAATCGTTAGCTGCAGCCCTACATCTCACGCTGCCATACAGGAGAGACATAACCTTGATAGAGCAGCCAGGGTCAGGGAAGGATCAAACACCTACAGACACAAAGGTGCCCAAGATGTGTGAAAAAGACAAACCTGCAAGAGTCAGCAGGCATACGTCACAGAATGCAACAACTTTGGTGCAATCAATCTGTGTGTGTGTGTATATATACAGTACACACACACACTAATTAAATCGAGGAATTAATCGTTAATTTCCCCAGCCCTAATTATATATATATATAAAAATTTTTACAGGGTGTATATGTTGTATATGTTGCAGGATAATAACTTTCAATTTCACAATCTGCATACACGTTCCAGGACAGGGTATCAAAGCGTTGGATGTCTTTGGATCAACAAGACAGGCAACTAGTAGTTTCAAATAGGAGTAGTTAGCAGCAGAAGTCTACATATATCACCCTGCAAGAATGTTAGTCAGAAATATCAGACTGGAGCTTTGAGGCTTCAAGAAAATGGCATTAAACTTTGTAAAAACTTGCAAAATGCTTTTTGAAGCTGATGATCTGAAAAAAAAGTCTACAAGGGAAATAACGTGCGTGTTTAGGGACCAATGGAGCACAACATGTAGTGTAACGCACCTGAGCAGTTTCAATTTTCAGTTTGTCGATAGCCAGAGTGTTTCTCTGAAGGCCACTGGAGGCAAGTGATAAAAGTTGCTTCAAGGCTTTGATGTCTTCCTCTACTTTCATCATAGCTTTAGAAGACATTCTGCTGATCTCTTCCTGTACATGTTTCTGCTCCTTCACAAACCTTCTGCATGGAAACATAAAACTTAAACCTAACACAGTGCCTAATATAATTACCTACACAGAATGAGAGCAGGTCAAGAATCGATGTATGCTGTAGACCAGGGGTGGCAAACACAAGGCCCGCGGGCCGAATCCGGCCCGCCGGACCTTGTAATGTGGCCCGCACAGCAGCCAGGGACGGTCCGCTATGCCGACTCTGTGCAGAGCAGTGTCTACTGTGTGTTAGCGAGCAGAGCCGGCACTACCACACAGTAGACACTAGAGGGTGCTGGTGGGGGAGGCCAGAGAAACACCTCCTCCCCCAGCCCTCTCTACTCTGTGCTCTTTCCGGAGCTTGCTGGTGCTGTTCCTGCAGCCTGCACTGTCCCGGTACCGGCCGAGATATTAACATATGAATGGGCCGCGGTAAATTTGCATATCAATAAGCCGCGGCCCATTCATATGTAAATATTGCGGCTCATTCATATGCAAATCACCGCCCCTCCCCCGCTGCTAAGGAAGGTATGTGTATGGTCAGGGATTTACTCTCCCTACCGCCCCAAGGCCAGATTCCACAATACACCATTCTGAGCAGTCTCCAATAAAGTTTCTTGTGGATGTTTTCAAGGCTAGTTATTACTTAAATTATTATTAAAACCAGTAGCAACTGAATGCAGAGGCAACTATTTATGATAATAAAGAGTAGATGCATAGTCTTATACAACCGGCCCTTTGAGGGTAACCATACTGCTGATGCGGCCCCCGATGAATTTGAGTTTGCCACCCCTGCTGTAGACTAACAAAAATAAATAAAACAAAATGTTCCTTTTGAATGTAGAACTGTATGCTTGTTCAATAGAGGTACTGCCTGAATAATGCGGGGATGTAAACCACCATTTTCAGGTGGTGACAGAAGGATAGGAAGGATGTCCTGGGTCAGCCTTGTGAAACCTGTTTAAGTATCTAGTTTAACCATAAACTAAGTAAGACAAGTTCATAGGGAATTAATCTCAATGTTGCAGGGAAATATTATTGGCGATAAATTCCAATTACAGTTGATGCAGGTTTATTTGCTAATAATTTAGGGCCAGTTAACGCCAATTGTGGTGCGCTCCAGAGCGGTATATTGTGTGTCCAGTAATCAGTTTTCAGATGTGTGTGATTTTTAGATCCCGTTGGTAACTCAGTTCAGTAGACACCATTACCCTTACCTACCTTGCCAGTTACCTTTATCCTTGCCTACATTGTTCAGCGTGTGGGTACATAAGGATATGGTGATCCATCCATACTTAGCTATGGTTAAGGCCAGGATTGGCTGAACCATGTCAGTGTCTGGTTTTTACCCTGTACTTGCTTGCATTTGCATTGTGGAACTATCAAAAGTGCTGGCGTCTTGTTACTATGTGGCACTTGAGAAAAAGCAGGTGGCACAGTCTAATTCCAGAATACATAGTCAGCTGATCATGTGAACTGTTTAAATCGGGCCTTTACACTCAAAAATCTAAATTCTACCAATGCATCCCTCTATGTACGATTAATAATAACATAGACATGTCAGGTGTAAAATGCTGTGATTATGAAATACACTTGCAGAGCATTCGCTTCCTGCTTTGAAAGTACAAAATGCCTTCAGTTTGGCAAACCATTGTACAGTGGGATTGCCTCGTCATCAGCAGAGCATTGCTGGGAAATCTCACCAGATCTCAGGGAAAGGCATTTTCCTCCCCTGAGATGATGTGCATGGTCACAGGTCAAGTCATGTGCCAGAAATCCAGGATGTAAAGGGAGATCTAGTAATCTGCCCTTAGTAAACATGGCCACTATGAGAAGACTGGGGAAGAAAGAGAGAAATAAGATATGCAAAGAGTTCAAAGCCGGCAATTATCTAGAAATATGTGTTTGTAGATTGTCATTACTAAACATTTCTAAAGGTGTATTTGTTCTTATTATAAAGATATGGGTATAGGTCCGCTTTAATAATGTGCACCCATTCAAATTACACTCCGCAAACAATATTTTCAAAACCTCCTGCGGTAATGAACTAAAACAGTGCTAACCAGCATGCAGTGAAACATACAGATGGCAACATTTTGTAAGCAGATTTATGTTAGACTGAGCTGAGCATATGAAGACAACTTGTTTCTGTTTAGTAGAAATCATGTCTTGGAGCTTACAATATATAAGACACAGTTCAATAAAAAGCTATAGTTACACTTACTGGAAATTATCTACATCTTGGCAGATTACTTGAGGTAGATTTTCATCCTTAAGTGCTTTGCTGTCTCTGCAGGAAACAAGTGCCATACATAAGAAAAGCATGCTCATGGATCTGTTAGTACCACGCCACCACCGCTGTGTTAGCCCTTTCCAGCACCGATAATTCAAACTAGCAATCCTAAATTTGGTTTTGTGTTTCTCACTTAACTCAATGAGATCCCTGTGGATGCAGTGGGAGCAATCATAATGAGGAAAAAGCATTCCCAGTCTGAGCGGTGTTGCTTGTGGCTTACACAGACAGTTGTGAATGAAGGTGCACTACTGCTATGGAATGTTTATCATGGAGACCTAAGTGTGTGATGACACAGTAACCGCCTGTTATTAACCCCTAATGAAACGCTCCCTAAAATGCAGCCATAAAACGACAAGAAAAACAGCTCCACTATTTCATGGCCACTCTAAGGATCTGATAGTTGTGGACAGGTTTGCCTCAATGGCATCAGTTTTGAGACTCCTCTGAGATCATCCTAAAAAGGATGCAGAATAAAATATGTTCCATACATTTATCCGTGCGTGCTTGTCTGTAAACAGGTGCTGCGTGTAATAGCACGCAGCAACCTGCTCTTCCCTAAGGGAGGACGCGGCTGTACACTGTCATCAGCACACCTGATAGTACACATCCGCGCAGGTGTGGGTGTCCGCACTTGGGATGCACACTGTCTGCGTCCAAGTGCGGACATGCAGACCCGCGCGTATGTGCAAGTTCGTGTTTCCGCACTTGGACGCAGACAGTGTGCATCCAAGTGCAGAAACCCGGACTCGCACAGATGTGCACTTCGGGTGTGCGGATGACAGTGTCCAGCCGTGCCCTCCCATAGGGAAGAACAGGCTGCTGTGTGCAATTACACAGTCATTTGTGCCTAGGTTAAACAAACAAAACAAAAAAAAGTTACTCACCCAAACCTCAGATCCAGCTGGTTGTGACAGGGCTCCACCTCCTAGGCTGTAACGATATGTCCCTCGTCATCCTCATGTCCCATATATAGAATGTGATGACCTTTCTATATAGGTCATCAAGAATCTCTAGTATGACTGCCCACATGTACAGATCGTGGATCGCTGATGACAATCTGGAACAAGCGTGCAGCCCGTGATGATGGAACTCCTATACTTGTTTCAGGTCAGTTTCAGGTCACACGTCCCCGTGTGCCAGCTCCTCCCCCCCCCCCTCTCTCTCTCTGCTGACAGATCGTGGATCGCTGATGACAGAGGGGAAGGAGCTCTCTCTCTCTCTTCAGCATTTACTACAAATCGGAAAGTCCATATATGGTAAATGATGTCACTGGAGATCCCTGCTGATCGGATCCACGATCTGTCAGCAGGGAGAGAAAGAGAGAGTGGGGAAGGAGCTGGCACACGGGGACGTGCAGGTAAGGAGAGAGCTGCTGTGCATGTCCATATATTCGTGGACGCACAGCAGCTCTCAAGAATCACTGTCAATCATCAGTGGGGAGGATCCCGTCAGATACGTCGGGATGTCTTCACATTGCGGCGCTTAGCCCCGCCTACCACCTAAAATAAGGTTTTACAGCCTTCCTGTGCATTTTGGCTAATTACAGTAAATTAAATTATTTACTTATTTAGCCTAAGGAATGCATTCATAAAAAAAAGATAGAACCCCATAGTTCTCCTTTAACTGCACAACGAAATGTGAAAGTAACTTACTCAGGTCGCCTTCCAGTTTTATCACCTGAAGAAAAACAAAAAAACCTTTTTGAGTAGTCATAAAAAACAGGAAGCAGAGCTTACATATGTAATAAACTAGTATGACTGCCCACATGTACATATATAAATTACAAAACACGGTTTTCAGGCCATGAAGACATGTTGATGACATTGGTTACATCAGTATTAAGCATGACATGACAATGTTTTACTGCTCCTCCTCCTCACAATGAGAGTTTTGGCAGCATCAGACTATCTCAATACACTCTGAGAAACCTATGCTAGCCTCCTCCTGAATATGCTAGTTGCCTGGCTGTTATACTGCACCCATCTTCTCAATGATCCACAACAATTATACAGATGAAGACAGTCAGATGTCCTGATCTACCCATTTGTTCCAGGTCAGTAACTCAAAAGAACTGAAACAATAGGGTCAGCCTGGCTTTGCCATTGCAGTCACGTTGAGTTAATGCATGTTGTGTCACAAGTTAACGTGTTGCGGCAAGGCAGCCCATGCACACAATCTGGCTGTCAACTCACCATGAAAAAATGCACCTGCAGCATTATAACTGATGCAGTGCACCATACAATGCACGGTAGTCCACTGCAAACTTATGTGCACTGGAGAAGAATACAGATGCTGTCAGGTAGGTATATAATTAAAGCTACTATACTACAAGACAGACAATATGAAAGATGTATTCATGCGTCTCCTGTTACTATTAATACATGCCAATAACATCTTTGTTATTTCCCTATTGATGCTATGCTTCTGAGAGGGACAGGGTGCACTCAGGAGCCTTTTTTGGGCAAATGGCACATTCCTAAAGGAAAAGGAGGCCCTCCCACCTAAATACGTCTTATTGCACTTCACAGGAACATGTGCAAACTGCAGCATGCTGATTTTTTTCCCCCCTATCAAACTTACAATGGGCAAGCCACTGACAGTGTATCTAAACCAAAAAATGTAATATATAACATCTTACCAATCATTAAATATAGCGGCTTCATTTTTAGGCTGTTCTTTATGTTCACCCAGTGATCCAGTAAGTCTGTTATTTTTCCTTTAACAGACCAAACTGTGGCAGTTAGAGGATTGAGACAAACCTATTAACATTGACCGGGGTGCTTACAATGGTCAGCTTTCTTCATTTATGTAAAGCCTTAATCTGTCCCCCGGAAAAAATAAAAAAAAATAAAACTGTTGCTGTAACAGTTTAAATAGTGTGCCTGGAGTTCAGATGTAATCTGTTGGTCAAGTGCATCTAAAATACCATCAACACAGGATGACAATGCTGCTGTCCTAGGGTGGCGGCGTTGCTGCTCCATAGTGTGTTACTGGCTGGATCACCAGGTGAAAATAAAAGGCAACAAAGCCTAAAAAAGAAAACAAAAAGCAGCCACCACATACAGCGCGATGATTTTGGTCAGATTTAGGCACAAACACTACAAAATGGATGACAATAATACTGTTAGCAGTTGTGAAGGGACTTCATGGGTCTCAAAGCTGTAAGCATCTTAAAGAGCCCGATGTACAGGAGTAATATTTACAATGCAGTGATGCGATTGACTCACTTTACATTAAGCTTTTTCTTAGCTTTCCAACAATGAAACATATCCGTTGCATATTTTGATGGAGTAAAGACGGAAAAAGAGAAAAAAAAAAAAAAAAGGAAGAGGAATCTAGGCAAGGTAAACACATACTTTTTTTATCTGACGAACTGCTGAAATCTATTCCACCAAGACCTTCATTAGAAGTAGTCTGCGTTGCTGGTGCTGTTAGACCCAGAGGATTCTGTCCAAGACCTGAGATAAGAGAAGTTACACGTGTGACATGAGGTGCAGATCTAAAACAGGAAATCAGGACAAGTGCTCAGGGGACCAGCTGATTCGGCAGGAAACAAACTTTAAAACATCAAGAAGCAGGATCCATTGTAAGTGATTTCATCAGCATTTGAAAACCTTTTGACTTTGATATCACTAACACACAGCTTCTTGAATCCGGATTATAACCACCCATTTGTACAATATAGTCCAGTGGGAAGTCTTAAATATAATAACTTCTTAAGGTAATTTTTATAGTTGGATTTTATTCTGCTGAGCTCTGCAAACCAGGAGTAGAATGGAAGCCTTGTTGAGTTGGAAAAGGAAATGCAGGGCAGGAAGACCTCTGTATTTATTCAGGCAGGACTCCCAGCTACAACAGAGTATTTGGTGAAACCTTTCTGCACAGCATCATGATTCTTAAACAGTCAACCCAGAAATAAGATTACAGTTTTTGAAAGATACCAGAAAGTTAAACCACCTGATGGTTTCTTATATTTCTCATGTGTTCCAATGAAAACAGGTTTACCTTTGAGTTCCAAGGTCTGCACATCTTCAGCAGCCTCAAAAAAGGTATGGTTCCTCTCTCCTTGCTGCATATACATTTATTTTTATGGAGCATGTGACAGTAAGTGAAGGAACACCCAAAGTGTAGTATAGATCTAGGTACTGCAGCAGGAAATGTTCATTGTTGGAGTCTTTGAGATACATGAAGCCATTGGTGACTTGTCAGTGCCCACTTCTAAAAAGGAACATCATTTTGGGTGATTTTAAATGGGAACTTATAGGATAACCCTTCCTTCCAGGACTAGGAGGTCTCAATAACCCTAAACCCAGAAACAGCAATATTTCCGGGGCAAAGCATCCCTGTGTTTGCATTCGAGTAAAAAAAACAAAAACAAAAACAAAAAAAAACAAAACAAATGCACCTCGAATTCCGTCATATAGAGCAGTCTTTCTCAACTAGGGTGCTGTGACACCACAGCGTGCCTTCCGGCTTCCTCAGGGGTGCTTCAAAATGCTGTGCTAGTGGGGCTGTGATGTTAAGGGGGAATGAAGACTGATGTGAAGGGGGCTCCTGATGTAAAAGGGGAACTCTGTTATGAAAGGGGCAAACTTTGATATAAAAGAGGGGCTTCTGATGCAAAGGGTGACTCTAAATGTGAAGGGAGGGGAATCTCAATTTGAAGGGGCCACTTCGATGTGGGAAGGGGAAACTCACCTTTTTCAATGAGGTCCCTCCTAAATTCTATGACAAGATTGGGGTGCCCTGTGATTTTGCATACTTTTTAAGGGTGCAGTGACTGAAAAAAGGTTGAGAAACACTGATATAGAGAACGTATGCAACCAATACTGGCGCTTTTACCATAATCTTACCAGCAAGTTTAGGTCTTTATGGCCGGTTCACACCATAAACAGTGCGTTCCAGAGTGGTCAGCCTCTGGAACGCACTATCGCATTCCGGCCCGCTTCCTGCGCTCAGGGGTGGGAGGGGGCATGGCGGTGCGTTGGAAGTTAATGGCACCACAGCCACACCTCACGCACCAGAACGCGTGGCGCATCAGTGCATGCGTTTCGGTCCAGTAGAATATGCAAAAATGCTGCAAGCACTGTTTTTGCAGATCGCACTGGACTGGAACTCAGGCCATGTCCCACGCATCCTGGTGCGGGCGATCACACTACGGGCAGGGGGCGCGGCTGTGGTGCCATTCAGCTCAATGCTCCGCCACACCCCTTCCCGCCCGTCAAAGCTGGAAGCAAGCCGGAATGCGATACAGTGTGTTCCAGAGGCTGCCCACTCTGGAACGCACTGTTAACGATGTGAACCGGCCCTTATTACAGAGTGGCAGATATAAGCAAGAGTCCTTCTGTCATTTCAGCAAGTTTACCCTTTCCCGTCTGTTAAACATAGGGCTGCAACTTTAGATGTATATAAATAATTCATGTGATTTTAAAAGAACCACAAAGTGAGCAGGAGTGAAAATGCAATGTTCTCTGTTACCATAGTAAATAGAAAAGCAGAAGATCCTCACATTACTGGTTTTATTAGTATGCTTTTATTTTCTTCTAAATGGCTCAGTCATCACCACCACCGGCCTTCAGAGAATTATCTAAAATCCCTCTGATCCCAGACCACCCCGTCTATCCAACATGATTACACAAGTAATGTACTTTAGCATGACACAGTGAGCCAATGTGACCTGATAGATTCAAATAGCATCTGGTGGATATATCACTAACAGAATCTTCAGGTAAAAGCTTAGCTGTGAGAATTACCTGTTGTGGCTTGAGTTGCGTTTTGAAAAAGTGTCCCAGCGAGACCGAGTGACAGGCCAGTGGATGCCGTAGTTGCAGCTGTCGCACCAGTATTCAGATTCAAAGAAAACCCAGTGCCTGGAAGAAAAGATCCTCATCATTCCTCAAACACAACAATCTCACACAAGTTTGGCTACATCTGTACATTTGCTACACAGAATAATGGGGGTGATATCAAAACTGGAGCAGCTGCCCATCGCAACCAAGCACCTTCTCTCTTCAGTTAAGTGTTGAAAAATGAAAGATAGAAGCCGATTGGTTGCTATGCACAGCTGCTCCAGATTTCCCCTAATGTGTCCAGTCAAAACATTTTAAAGTGACACGGGAGTATCTCTCCTGTGTTAGACTTCAATCTCAATGCAAATTAATAAACTAAACATGAGATTGTAGTCCATCACAGGAGCGAGCTTGGAGCGGTGACTACTTTACAACACACAAAGGGACCATGGGGAACAATAGTAACCACCCTCCAGAAGGAAGGACAGTGTCGGCACCAATTCAGAGATGATTTGATGATCTACAGCCGAGTGATACACAAATAAGATACATTTGTTAATAGTTATGGCACTTGAATGCATTTGTAGGCGTTAACTCCTGAGTTTAGTGTCACTTTAATGTGTGAATATGAATGAAAGTAGACACATTTCCCTTTATATAAATATGAATCAGTGACAGAATGATCGGGCTGGATGAAAACTCTCCACATTTCCTGTCAACAGACAACAATGTCAGAATTGTGTATTCACAAATGTAAAATATTACATCAAGATTGCTATTTAACAATGTTTTGCAATATCTCTCAGTCTATGCCATTGAATTCCATTGTGCAGTCAAAGTACCTGGGCACCCCTATATACTGAATGTAGGCGTTCCAGTGATTGGTACTGTTAATGATACATCATACAAAGATATTTTAGACAACCTCAATCTTGTGGCAACAGTTTGAGGAAGGCCCTTTTTCTATTCCAGCATGACTGTGCCCCTGTGCACAAAGCCAGGTCCATAAAGACATGATTTGACAAGTTTAGTGTAGAGCAGGAGTAGGCAACCTCCAGCTGTGCTGACACTACAAATCCTATCATGCATTCGCCTCTGGGAGCCATGTCTGTGGCTATCAAGTTTTGCAATGCCTCATGGGATTGCTGCGGATGGAGGGCCAGAGTTTGCCTAACCCTGCTGTAAAGGAACTTGAACACAAAAGACAAATGCTGATTGCAAGCAGGTCTTCCCATCCAACATCAGTACATTACCTCACAAATGCCCTTTTGGGTGAATGGGCACAAATTCCCACAGAGACATTAAAAATTCTTGTGGAAAGTCTGTGCAGAGGAGTAGAGGTTGTTTTGCCTTTTCTACTGAATTCCAATTCAACATTAAGTACAGTTACCGAGAGCTGAACTCTATTATACTAAGCCTATGACCTCTCAATCCTTGTGTCACTTGCCATCTTCTGGACACTGCAAAGGTTACATGACGAATGTATTCCAGAGAGAATGGCCATGTAATTCAGCTCACAGATCTCAGGACGCAATAGATATCGAATAGTATTCCGTCTAACTATAAATGTTTTTTGTTTTTTTTTATAGAGAACTATGGCCCAACCTTTTTCTACCATATTTCTCTTCAGGGTCACAGGAGGACAAACTAATGTCCTCTTGTGACTCAAAACTCAGAGTATAGAGGGCTATTGCCCGCTATATGCGGACAGTGCAGAGCCGCACTGCAGCCGGGACAGATCCCAACAATATTGTCAGGATCCACCCCACTGCCTGACTGACAGCTGGCTCTACCTCTCTAGAGGCAGAGCCGACTGTACCCGCTTCCTCCCTGTCCAGTCAGTGCTGGAGAATCCCTGCGGGGAGCGGTGAATGTCAGTTATTGCTCTCTGCAGGGAGATGATTGGGAACTGTACGTTCGCTCAGTTCCGGATCAATAGAGCCGACGTGCGACAGATTCAGTGTCACACATCAGCTCTAATTATGGGGATAAGTGTATTTCACTCTCCCCATAATTCTCCTTTAATTCTTTATTGCTTTGTGATACTTTGCAGAATCCAAGGGAGAGTTTTGTCTATGAAAAGAATGTCCAAGTTAGTTTGAAGGTTAACCTACTGCATTTAGCAATTATTGATAAATTGTACAGATGTTTTCTCTGTAAATACAATTGTTCTAGACGGTGGGCACACCAGATTGTGCTTATTAGTGCTGATCAGAGATGCATCACACAGACAGGACACGGTGTTACATAGGAGACTCACAAGTACAAGGCTTTGAAAGAGAACACCAGGGGGCAAAAAATATAAATAAGTGGTCACTTACCTGCTGCTGGGGTAGATGTCAAAGAGGGCAGGGAAAGGCCTGTGGATGAGGTAGTAGTAGTCAGAGAGAAAGGGGTAGCTGATCCAGCAGGTTTGCCAAAATTTAAATTGAAACCAGATGCAGTAGTAGTTGCTGGAATATAAAAAAATAAAGTCAATGTGACAAAACACTGAACATCAAAGAAAGACATATTTTCAGCATCCTCACAAGTTCAAACTTCTCCATCTCAGAGCACTTTAATTTGTCCTGGTTATCAGGTAACAGAATTCTTATTTCATATTAACTTTCTACATTTTAATATCCAAAAAGTAGTACACCAGATTTTAGCCTAGGAGGAAAATAAATTATTACATATACGAATATATAAAAATAAATAGCATGTGATTATGGGTAGAAAACTGTCCAGTTATTTATAGCACAGTAAAATATGTCCTCGGGTCAGACTAAAATAAAAGGAAAAGTGCTTCTTTTCTCCACCCGAATGGCTCACTTAGGTATTAGGAAGTAATTCTATGGTTTGTGAAGTCTTTCTCTCCCCATCAGCCTTTTCTAATATCCAGTCTTCTGTCCAGAGCCTCTTCCTTGTTCTCTAGTTGCATGCATAAAAACATAGGAGGCAGACAGCAGAAAAAGACAATATGGCCCATTGTGTCTCTCTACAGGGGGAGATGTAAACACTTCCTGAATGACATTTTGTTGGATAAAGCACTGTGTGAATCAAACAATTGCCATTTTTCCCCAGCATCCCTTCGCTACTGGTGTCCTGCAGCCCCTATCCACCTGCATACACTCCAGTAATGGTTGCATTGTCATTCTCAGGACAGGTTTCCTGATGTTGACAACAGTGGACCATGCTTATAGAATCTGTGTTGAAAGAGCGACTTGTAATTGCCACTGCAAGCCTCTGTGACAGGGAGACAAAACCAGAGCATTGTCACCCTATAACTGGAAGTGCCCGCACAAAAAGTTCATGGCAGGAACAGCGGGTATTATTTTAATGAAAGCTGCAGATTTAATAGTATTGAAAATGACTTTAAATACATGATGATGTTAAAGCTTCCATAAGAGGTTAGTGATTGGATTCAAATATATTACAGGTGGGCAGATTATTACATAAAGCAAAGTATAACTTGGAAAATGACAACTGTTTAATACAATGTACGGACTTTCCTGTACTGCTGTTCTCTAGTTTCCTGGAGTTAGACACACACAATTTCCTTTTACAATGTTTCTCTTACGTGTTACATTGGTTAAAATTTCATGAAAATTAAATGAAAAGTTGAAAAAGCAGTCAGGAAATCAAATGCCTACGTACGTGTATTCTGTAATCCTAATGCAAATCCTGTGGCTGGTTTTGCTCCAAACATGGCTCCAGTTCCCGATGCGGGAGTTGTAGTTGTTGCGGGGGTCCCAAAACCACCAAAAGGTGTTGTACCAGCATTACTGTAGGAAACAAATAAAAATGCAGAAATAAAATGGGATCAAAAGACATGGCATACACCAGATTACTTCATTCTGGGTGTACTGGGGAAGGGTGTCAATCCAAGATATAACTAGCACACCATCTTCAGAAGAGAAGACAGGACACTTTGTCACCAACAGGAAACAATGTTTTGAAGCCACTGAGGACCACTGCTGCCTGAGAAATAGGTTCTTTTGGCCTCAAAACAACACTTCCTGTTGATGACAATATAGTATTTTGTCTTCTCACTCGAACATGGTGTGCCGATCTCTTGGAGAGGGACTTGTGCTGTGGTGGCACCATCCACCATTTCACCCTTTTATGATTGGGTCTGAATGCTGTATGGAGTATGCTGGACTTCTTGTATCTAGGGAAGGGATTAACCCTTGTTAGGCTAATAAAAGTGCCAAGACCCCATCTCAGCCATAGACATGGGCTTCCACAAATTCAAAACTAAAGCAAACCCACCATGAAGAATCATCTAGACTGTCATCGCAGACTTTCTGAAATAGCTTGTTACCTTGCTGTCACTCTGCTTAGGCTTTAATACTTAAAGTTACTGACGTGGAACAAGTACAGATACGAAGGTTCCTGACTTTCCGACACTCATTTGCTGTATGCTTGTAGAACATAGAAGTACTTAAGCAAGAAAAGCTAGGCTATTAGCATTTTCAGATGGTGGACAGCTATTGCATCCCCAATAATTCTGTCATGATAGGTTTACTTGTGAACCTATTCCCAGATTATGCACACTGAAACATTTACATGTTCTGAACAAGCAGTAAAACCACTTTGTTGCAGCAGGCTGAGTTTATTTTTGAGCTCCTTCACAATGATCTGTCCTTATGGAAAGGCTTAGGACTGAAATGTATGAATTATATTTCTCTCATTAACATATAATGCAAACCCCTCATGGCCCCTCCTAACATTACAAAGAAGGGGGCGGTTTGGGGACAGTTAGAGAATGATGAAATTAAAACTTTTAAAAGAACAAATTGAAATTCAATCAAGTCTGACCCTCAAAATAATAAAAAAAAAAAAAAAAAAGACGGTTTAATTTTCAGAGTTTACAACACAGGCATTCAAATCTCAGCTTTTTTTCGCCCCTACAGATCTTGGCAGCTTTCCAATGTCTGAGCTGTCAGAAACCAACTGAAATCAGACAAGGGTGTTGGTATTTTTGAACATCTTTAAGCCCCATTCACATCAGATATGTTGGCATGTGTTTTTCAACGGATTTCAACGCAAGGACATCTGAAAATGAATGGGTGTAAATGGGAGCAGTGCACACCAGTACATTGCATTGATGTGAGCATGCTCTATTTCTTCTCATCGCAATGCATTTAACGCATGTCAACAAAATGCACACCAATGCAAGGCAGAACCAATACCTTATATAGCTCAGTGTGAAAAAAATGCAACGCAAGTCAACATACTATGCCAACACAAGCAAACGCACTTGTGTTGTCATCCAACGCACGCATTTGGGTGTGAACACACCCTAAAAATAACTTTAAATTTAGCACCTGGGGAGGTCAGGGATGGCTCCGTTTTAAAGCTCTGTTCTTACTTCTGAATAGTATGAAAATAGTTAAATGTATGTAGTCTGGGCACAGGTGAATTTGAAAGTGTATTTCCACTTTCAGGCAAATTAGGATAACACCTACTTTATATTTGTTACATGTTTCTCATTCACATAGAATAACTTTATATAAAATAAATTGATGCGTGCATAACACATGCTCAATTCTCAAGTTTTTATCTAAACGGAGTCTTCTTCTGGAATGCAAGAGGGGTGTGAAGGGAAATGTTTTATGAAAATTAACCCTGTCTGTACTGTGCTGGCAGATCTCACTATCCGTTGTAAACTAGACTTGAGTGCGGTCTGTCCAAACAAAGGTTAACGATCCAGAAGCCGGTCTCCTATCATTGTATTTTAATAAGGAAATGCTCAGTCTGACCTAAGTCTTTCTATTAGGACAGTCAGTTCCACATTACTGAAATTGAGAGAAGCCTGCACAGGCCTGGTAAATAGACAGATCTGAAAGGTTTCACCTGCAAAAGTGCAAAAAGGGATTCCTCCCCGCTCCGATCCTCCAGCGCTGACTGGAGGAACGGACAGGGGAGGGGGCGGGCACAGTTAGCTCTGCCTCTAGATAGGCAGAGTCCGCTGTCAATCACGCAGCTGGGTGGATTTCGACAGTAATGTAGGGATCCCCCCCGGCTGCCTCAGTATTGGGTCACGGGAGGACGTTAATTTATGTCCTCCCGTGACCCTAAGGAGAACTATAGGGGAAAAAACACTTACCCCATAGTTGTCTTTTAAGTGGCAGACAAAGCATTCCTTATCTTCCTCCTCCACTTCTGCTAATCCCACCATAGCCCTATAGTGACGACATGTCTTTCTCATTTTTTGGTGTGGAAAGGATGACTTTGCCAGTTAGGAGGTGGAGCCCATCAGAGGAAACTTTTACAGGGTTATTCACAAAAGGGTGAAGAGTTTGGAGAAGGCAGGAGAAGTGAACAATCTAGGACAACATAACTGAACTGGAAAATGAACTGAATTGGAGACTTTTTCCAAATCAGCTATGTTGTCCTAGATTGTTCACTTCTCCTGATTTCCTTTTTGTGAATAGCCCCGTAAGTCTTCATACTATGAAGTTTCTCAAGCCACCTACTTGGAACTTTCACACGCTAGCACATGCGATAACGCAGTGCGCCACAATGCGATGCGCTTAGTTTGCCTCATGCACTGGTGCGCTATGCATTTCACCCCTTTCTATTTAGCTTTTTTTCGCAACCTTTTTTAATTGTTTGCGCATCATTGCACTGCAAAACGTAGAGCGTGCTCTACTTTTTATCAGCACAGATAAATGCATAAATGCAGCGCAACATGCTGGTATGCACTGGCCTCTTTGGTTTGCATGTTTTTTTTTTTATTGTTGTGCGTTGGAAATGCCCTGACCCTAAGGACTGCTAGGTAACTTAGACCAGCCCCTGCTCTGTGCTTAGCAGCAGCAGATACCAGGCCCCCCATCAATGTAACAGACACCATTAGCCAGAGTGTTCTTTCTCCCAGTGGTGCCTGTATATTCCCAGCCATGACATTATTAACAGGACTGCCAGTCCCCTTGGAGCAGACAGTATCTGGATTAGTTGCGCATGGCACCCAATCAGCTTCTTTTATTTTCAAAAAAGAACAAACTGAAGAGAGAAGCTGATTGGCTTTTGTGCATAACTGCTCCAGATTCTGGCTGCTCCAGGTTGGAGAGATTCCCCCTCCCTCATGTCCAGAATGTAAAATGATAAAAGCACAGCACCAGAGTAATTCTTAAGAGGAGAAGGGCGAGTGAAGCATCTACTTTCCCAACATTTCTACCATATCAGATGACATTTCATAAAAATCTGACTAGGTGACATGTTCTCTTTAAAAGGTTCGTCTACCATAGTGCGTCACATGACCCTCATTATCTCACCTCGCAGGCGTATTTGTTCCGAAGGAAAATGGCGTGGCTGTCCCAGTGGCCGGGTTGAGGGTGGTGGTGGTGGAGCCCCCGAACGAAAACCCGGTGGTGGCCATAGCTTCCCTCCGTGCAGGGAAACGCGCACCGGAAGCACATTCAGCACTGCACGTCAAGTGCCCGAGAGACAGGCGCACCGCGATGACATCAATGGGAGCGCCAAAGTCGCCAGTTCCGTTCTACTAGCATGTATTCTGTAAGGTGACGTCAGAAGCGCGCGACCAATGTTTTGCAACCATAATAATTACCATGGAGCTCAGGGTTGGGTGTAGTTATTACTAAATGGAATAAAACAAGTACAAGCAACGTGTGATTGTTTGCTAATATGAGCCGTAAAGTTTTAGCTTTTCTTCGTTGGGGTATGTGCATGTGTTATAATTACTTGCCTCATGTTGTTTGGGGGCTTGTGTTCTGTAAGGGAAGACAATTTTATGACATACCCTTGCTCTATATGATACAGTTAGTACAATAATCATGAAAAGGAATGGTAATAATTTACAGAGGCAGAGGTGCCCTGCCCTACTTTAGTGGTCCATGAAAACTGCACCCTACATTAGTGGTCCATAAAAAGTGCCCCTGTACATTAGTGGTCAGTAGAAAAGTGCCCCTTGATTTCTATTGTACCAGTTCACACCAACAAAGTGATCAAAAATGAAACATGTTGCACCTAAAAGCAGTACAAGACATTACAATAAGGAAGTGTCCCGGGACCATCTTCCCTATCAGCTGTGGGCCAGGGCATTCCCTGCCCGCTGCTGAACATAAACAAAGAGGCAAGACGCTCGTGCTGACATCACTGACCTTATATGGCCACATGGCGCTATTGGGTAAGTTTCACTGACCAAATAGAGCCATATAAGGTCAATGATGTCACTGCATCCTGCCCGTTTCACTTACTTCCTTGGTTTTGTTCGATGCATTTCCATAAAATTTTCCAGAAGCTCATCAAAACATGTCAAAGTGCATGCACGTTAAAAACGCATATCCCAATCATAAACACACTGTGGCCACACCCACATTTTATTTAAAAAAAAACACTTAGGTGTCTAGTTATAAATAATGTACAGAGTAATTTGCTGGGCAACCCCCGCACTGCAATTGTTGAGTGCTGGTTTTTGTCTAGGGACGAAAATAAAAAAGATATACTCACTCGGACTTTGCAGACAGCTGACTGTAAGACCGTTCCCTTCAGCCTTGCTCGCCCTCCGCTCCGGTTGTCTAATGACCTGTGAGTCATCATGTCCTATAAAGTTTATTGGACGTGAGCACACCAAGGGACATTCCATCACTGAGGAGGCAAGCTGAAGGGACCCGTCTGGCAGCTGCGATTAGGGTGAGTATATCTTTCTTATTTGCGACCCTAGACGAAAACGTAACTCTTAAGCCCCTCTGCAAGTGTAAATGTTCCCGGAGTTCTTCTTTAAAGCAACATCTTGTGTGCTAACTATTCTACACTGAATCTTTTAGAACATCCTGGCTTATTTGTAGATTCACCACATTTCCTCTGATAGAGATCACATTGTTGCTTAAAAGTGTTGCCAGACGAACTCTTCCCTGCTGTCAGAGTATCTATCTTTGCTACCCATTGCCATTACTTCTTCTACATGCTATCAGAGATCATTATCACATTTACTAAGAAGCAAAGCAAGCTCAAGGAAATTCCCTTGATTGAGATCAGCATCATGCAAAGTATAAGCAACCTCATGGTTCCCCTTGCTAATTAGATCAGCCAATCTCCTGACAACTGTTTCTTTAGCAGCACTTTTCTTTCTCTTACCTACTAGGTTACCATTAATTAGAGTTCTGATGTTTGATGATGCCTGATATTGGGCAGAGTCCAATTTTCCATCCAGTCATGAAAATACTTTTTTCTACACAAAGAAAGCCATTTCCTTGGAACCGTGCTACTTCTAGGCCCAGAGAAAAATACTTTTAGGGGAATTTATTAAAACTGGAGCAGGCAATATCTGGAGCAGGTGTGCATGGCAACCAATCAGCTTCTCTCTTCAGTTTGTTGAGTTTCCCCCGTAGTTCTACTTAGGGTCACGGAAGGACATAAACTAGCGTCCTCCTGTGACCCAAAGCTCTTGTGTTCGCTCACTTCTCCATCTATTGAGCCGGCGTGTGACAGTTTCATTGTCACACATCGGCTCGAACTAGGAGGTTGAGTGAAAATCACTCACCTCATAGTTCTCCTTTAAGATTTGAAAATGAAAGAGATAATCTGATTGGTTGCCATGAACAGCTGCTCCAGATTTTGTATGCACCAGTTTTGATAAATTCCCCTCTTTGTGTCTCTGTGCCTTTAATATAAATAATAAAAGATGCTAGAAGGTATAAAATGAAACACCTAGAGGTGCCTGTACAAACCTGCACATCCTGATAGGGGAGCAGGGAATGGGCAAGCAATTTAAGCTGATGCAAGTTTATGGAGCAGAGAAAGCGGGAGTGGAATAATGAGAAGAGCGTAGAGGGAAGTGGTCCATGTTCCTTTCGGATGTAAGCCGAATGTGTCCAAGAATCCTTCAGTACATCTTAAAGGAAACAGGAAGTGACCTTCGTTCTTTGTATTTTCCAGAAAGAAGAGACATGGTCTGCATAATGTTCTTGGACCATTGTGTGCTCAATTATAACACAAAAATTTTGCTTTTGGTAGGGTCAGATGTTAGCAAATGTGTCTAATGCACCTACCAAACCCCAAAAGGGTCTTTTTAGAGTATTTAATAAACACTTAAAGGAACTGTCTCTGGAAATAAGGGCTAGATAGTACCTTATATGTCCAGGGATGGCATGCCCAGATCCTACATACTTCTGTCATACAGGTCAATGCAAGATTACCCACAAGATGACTTAGGATGGTGCCAAGGGTGTCTGGAGGCCTGCAAAATATAGAACAGCTGGATGGAAAGGCTGGCGATTGGCTGTTCCAAGATCTCTGTTTAGACTGAACTGGCATTGAGGGAGTATCTGATGGAGCACCCCCTCAGTCCCTTTGATCGGTTATGTGAATTCTGTAAACACCCTCTTCCTGTACCTTAAAAGATGACTGCATTCTGCAGCTGCAGCTCTCATCTCCATTTAAACTATGAATGAGTTTGAAGAGTCCCAGTCAATTTAAAAAGGATCTTTTGCAGTGGGGCTACCCCCCACACTACAAGGGTTAATTGTTCATTTTGGTCGTGGCGACTAAAATAAAGAATATATACTCACCTGATCCTTGGTCAAGTGGTGATGAGCGTTCACCTCTCTCTCCGTCTCCTCTGGTGGTGAAATATCCCTCAGCCTCCTAATGATGTCACGGGTTACCTAGACTGTCTGACACCGGGGGATAATAGGCTGCTGGGACTAGTAGAGAAGCCAAGCAAGACCGAGGATCAGGTGATTATAGGGTAGCCCCACTGCAAGGGTTAATTTGTACATTTCCTGGAGTTCTTTAAGAGTCAGTTAAGGTGTCCATACACTTTACAACCCTCGCGAGGGTTGTAAAGTAATTAAAAAAACGTACGATCTGCCCATCTTGGAAGGCCAGATTGTACCTGCGATCATCGCAAGCCAGCCCCCCTGAGGGGCGGGCTTTCGATGACTGCAATGCTGAACGGGCAGTGTGCGCGTGTGCACACTGGCCTGTTCGGCAGTGATCTCTCGATCATGTTAAAAACCAGCCGAAAATCGTACGATTCTCGGCTGGTTTTCCAACATGCTCGTTATACAAAAGTCGTGCGACTGTACATTAGAAACGGTTGCACGCCTTCCATACACTGCACGATTCTCGTACGATTGCTGTATTTCCCTCGATTCTCGTACGAGAATCGTGCAGTGTATGGGCACCTTTTTTCTAATACCTCAAATTGGACTTATTTTGCAAGCTGATACCAGCACAATACCAAAGACCAGGTGAACTTTAAGTAGTTTTTACTTTTAATCCTGTTTATTTTACTGTTACTAATTGTCTGTTTTGTAATATCTTTTAATACCTCTAAGTATATTCTTGCACCATTTCTCTTTTATTAAAATGATAAATTAAAGTGTAACTGAAGCTGTAAGTCTTATATTGCTGTCTGTGTCCCGGTTAGGGGGAATCACCTTCTCTGTTTTGTTCTGGTGACTGTTATTACTGAAAATGAAAGAAAATCCCAATTTTTGTGCTGTCATCAGAACAGGTATAGATGGGAAATTTTCCAATGGGGACACTAGCTTTGGTGACCCTGCTGACCATGGGGGATTTGCTCTCACTGCCTGTTGTGGCTCTATTCCTTTTCGGATGACAAGCCAAAATTTGGAACCTTCTTTTGCTTTCACTTAATACAGTCACAAGGACACAGACAGCAATATAAACCTATCAGGTGTTCTAATCCAGCTTTTCTCATCCAGGGTGCCTTCTGACTTCCTCAGGGGTGTCTGGAACGTTTGGCCAGCACCATGGAAATGAATGACACAAATCCAGGAAAGGTGGGATCCATTCAAAAAAGGTCATTTTTGTCCAAGCCTACTTCGCCTCTTGCCCTTTGTTATGCTGTTACAGCTGCAGCTCCTGATATTAAAGGGGAGGCTCTGATTTGAAGTAGCGTTCCTGATGTGAAAATGGGGGCTTCTGATGTTAAGGGGTGCTTCTAATGTAAAGAGGGCTCCTGATGTAAAGATGGGGCATCTAATGTGAAAGGGGGGCTGCTGACGCGAAGAGGGCTCTTGATGTGAAGGAGGCGCCTCTGATGTGGAGGACTCTTGATGTAAAAAGTGGGTTCCTGATTTAAAGCGGGAGGAGTTTCTAATGTGAAGAGGGCTCCTATTGTAAAAAGTGGGCTCCTAATGTAAAATGGGGCTTCTGATATGAAAGGGGGGTGCTGATATAAAAGGAGGGGGGGGGGGGCTCTGGTGTGAAAGGAGGACTCCTGATTTAAAGGGAGGACTCTGATTGTAGAAACTTATCTTTTTGTGTGTTCTGAGAATCCATACCAGACAAATATCTGCAATAAGGTGCTGCTGTGGATTTTGGAGGGGCAATTCTTTTTTTTACATTTGTTTTTATATTTTAGACTGGTGTACCTCAATATTTTGCATACTTTTATAGGGCATACTTTTACTGGGGTAAAAAAAGGTTGAGAAATGCTGTTCTAATCTAATCCCTCTCCACTAAAGGGAAAGTTTTGGCTTCAGCTGCTCTTTATGCCCCAAGCCCACATAGTATACATGCAGCATTCTATGGAGACAGCTGTTTCCTGTAGTTCCCTAAATGGCCTGAAGGTGGCGATTCACACAATGTGGGCGCCGCCGCAGCCTGGACACTGTGTTGTCATCCTCCTGACACCAGGAAGTGTCTCCCAGATACAGGGGCAGGAAGCGGAGGAGAGGCAGAGCAGGCTGCACCCGGTCCATGGTACATCTCACCCGGCCAGCACAGCATACATGGAGCACATCAGGACCACCAAGGTACTGTGATCTGTGCACAGCCCTTCTTGCATGCAGCTTTACCTACCCTACACAACACATGCACTGGGCTGTTTATATAAATAAGCTATAACGATCGTTGTGTATTACTAGGTCTGGGGTTATCGTGTGTTATAGGAGGACTCGGTGGGCTGTCAGGATCTTGTATGATTACACAGCACCCCCTCAGTAGTCATGATGTCATCCTATTTACTGCACAGGATCCTTCCCAGTCTGAGAGTATGACGTCACGTTCTGGTTTTCAATTTTCCTGGCAAGTGTCCCCAGCCCTTGTGTGTTCATTGAACAGGCTGGCTAATCCCAGAACAATATACCATGTACACATTAGTGCCGGTGTCCTCAATGCCACTCCTGCTAAGTCCCCATTCACACACAGGCGTACTGGGGGACGCACGGCACAGTGGCATGCATTCGTGCATGTTTTCTTTCTGCATTTGCTGCGTGTCTGCATTGATTTCAATGGGTTGCTGTACGCGTCACAAACACAGAAAAGACGTAGAAGAATCTACAACATTTTTTCTCATGCGTTTGTGCGAGTTTGAGACGCAAAATTTCACAGCTGCATTTTGGGGTGCCATTAACTGGTAATGGCAATGCAAGTGTGTTTTGGGTTTGTGTGCATTTTGGGAATGCATTTTTATGTGTGTTTGACGCACATTCCCAATGGTGTGAATTGGAACTAAGTCACAATCTCAGTAGACGTTGCATGCATTCTTTCTAATGGCTCTCAGCCAGGGTTTTGTGGAACTCTAGGGTTCCTCCAAAGGTTGCTAGGTGGTTCCTTGAGCAATTTAGGCTTCTAAGGTGTGATACCACTGGCCACAATGATCTTTTAAGGGATCTGTAAGTAGCATTCTGCCCACTGACCAATGTAAAGGGCATTCTTCTTTAATTGACCACCAATGTAAGGAGCTCTGTTCCAACTGACCACCAATGTAAGGAGCATTGTTCCACCAATGTAGGAGGCATTCTTCCCACTTATCACCAATGTAAGGAGCATTCTTCAAACTGAACACCAATGTGAGGATAATTCTTCAAATTGACCACCAATTTAAGGAACATTCTTCCCACTTACCACCAATGTGAGGAGCATTTTTCCCACTGACCACTAATTTGAGGAGCATTCTTCCCACTGATCACCAATGTGAGGAGCATTCTTCAAACTGGCCACCAATACAAGGAGCATTCTTTCCACTGACCACCAGTGCAAGGAACATTCTTCACACTGACCACCAATGTGAGGAGTATTCTTTCCACTGACCATCTATGTAAGGAGTATTCTTCCCACTGACCACCAATGTAGAAAATGTTCTTCCCACTGGCCGCAATGTGAGGAGAATTCTTCCCACTGACCACCCATGTAAGGGGCATTCTCCCACTGACCACCAATGTAAGGAGTCTTCTTCCTACTGACCACCAATGAGAGAAGCATTCTTCCCACTGACCACTGATATAAGGAGCATTCTTCCCACTGACCTCCAGTGTACTAGAGTCCCTTACTGTCCAGCAGTGTTAGAGGGGATTTCTGAATGTGAGAGAGCACTGCAATTATTAATGGTTAAATTAGGCAAAAGCCAGACATCCAATTTTATAATACTCAAACTGTAGAGTCTGAGGCTGAGGAGCAGCCTTTCTCAATTGTGCACAGCCTTGATATTACTTTTAAGATAGTTATATGCTACTTACATTCGAGCTGTGGGTGGCCCTGTTGGCACCACCAGGCTCCACAAACTTCATGCAGACATTAGAGTGTCGGCTGTCTGAATACAGTAACCAGCAGGGGAGATTCCTCCATTTACGCTGTTTATCATGAATGGGGAAATTGAGGGATTTCTCTTGTTTAGGGTCAGAGTAAAGTATAAACTGGCCGAAAACTCATTCTTGACTGACTCTATTATTCTGTGTTACCTTGTTGTCATGACTTTAATTCTCTCCACTTTGGTATGCTGGTATATAATAGTGGTTCCAGATAGTACTTTATACGTGGTGTGAGGTCTTCGCTGATTATGCAAGTTAAAGAGCGCTTTCATCATGAAAAAGGGAAGTGTTCTCTACTCTGTAGCTGTCATCATTTCTTGCTTGTGTTGTTTTTGTTCTATGTGAGATGGCTCTTTTATGCTCTTTTATGCCCCCCTCAAAAATATTCTTTTGACTGGAGTCTGGAATATAAAAGGAGATCTTCAGGAATGTTCTTTGGAAAGATAACTTTACATGTAAATTACATTTACCTTTGTGTTGTCCTTTCCCAGAGCGTGCAGTCGATTAATCGAACTCAATAATCGGCTAACTAATCGATTTTGAAAATAATCGTTAGCTGCAGCTCTAGCGCAGTCCTTCCGTTCCCTGCTACATTCCTAGTAGAATTACTCATTGCCGTGGAAGTCACTAACCTCATCTCAAAATATCACCTAAACCGTCCTCTTTGCTCTTCTCAAGACCTCATGCTCCCTAGCTCTCTAATTACCTCCTCCCATGCTCGCCTCCAAGACTTCTCCAGAGTGTCCCCCATCCTCTAGAATGCCTTACCCCAATCTGTCCATCTTCAGGCGATCCCTAAAAACCCATCTCTTCAGGGAAGCCTATCTCATCTCAACATAACTGCCCTTTTACTTCTTCCAGTAACTCAATCTAAACAATTATTACCTTTTGTATCACTTGCCCCTCCTTCTAGATTGTAAGCTCTCACAAGCAGGGCCCTCCTAACCCTATTGTAGTGAAATTGTATTGTATTGTATTGTAACTGTAATGTCTCCTCCATTTTGTAAAGGCCTGCACAAATTGTTGGCGCTATATAAATCCTGTATAATAATAATAATAATAGTAGTAAAACCACAGTAAATCCTTTTTGCCACTAGATATCCTTTGGGTTTTCTGGGTTGTATGATACCCAGTGAACCCAGAAAACTGAGGACATTCTGTGAGTGCATAGATCTACTCTCTGCAGGGGGGTCACAATGGCGCCCTTCTACTTTACAGTGTAATGAAGCAGATAGTGGTGCTAATGTTATAACATCAGTGCTGTTCTCTACATTATTGAGGACTGCACAGTGTGGAGAAAGGTGAGGAGGAAGGGGGCCCTGTGTAAACATGATCAGCCTGAAGACATCACAAAAATGTGAGTAAAACAAAAAGAAGTGGAGGAAAATGGGTCCAGTGTGCCGGGAACACTTAGTGGCGGGTATGGTGCATAGTTTATTTTGGATGCTTGCTTTGAGTGATGGCCGGAAGAAAAGGGAGAGTGCACAGAGGGACATTGAGTGTAAGTGTGCCTGTTTTAGCCATTCAACGGATACCCGTTCGTACGAATGCTAGTTTGGTGAATGTGAAAGTTATCATGCTCCAGTGACAGTGATTTGTAGGTTCATGTGATGGGTTCAACACCAGCAAAGCAAAGTAAGACTACCATCAATATTATTTCTTGTGACATCCTAAAGTAAGTTTTATAGGGAAACGGATCGCATTCATTTGAGTTGGTGGCGGGTGTGTTGTTCATTACCTATGTGGTAACACAGTGTGGTATGGGAACCTACAGTGGTCATAGACACGAGATGACAATTGTAAGGTCAGGTCTATAGAACCATTGCATGACTGTCATATGGCAATGCTTGAGAGTAACAATATATTGGACAAAAGTTGATCCAGTTGGCATTGTTCCTCCTTCTGATAGGCCACCCTATCCTCTTTTACTGGGTTTACTATTCTATAGCATGCTTTGCAACCCCTTAGTGTTGACTTGCTCAGAAGAAAGTAGAATTGTTCCAATGTAATTGAAGTCCCTTTATGGTCCATGGACAGCTCTAGTCATCACAATCCTTCTCCTCATCTCAGACAATAATTATGCAGTCACGTAACCGCTGTATTTACAGACCTGTATCTGACCCTAATGGCGGTGACTCATCAGTACCTGAATAGGGGTTTGGGCCAGTTGGCATTACCTTGATCACTTTCAATGAAATAAAAAGATCCAAGTTGAAATCGCATATAGTGCAATTTGGTGAATGACTTTGTTTGTTGCCATCAGGTGCATCACCATCAGCTGTTTCATTTTGATTTGTCAGGCATTTTATTTATTGATTGATTGATTTATTGTTACCAAACATAAATTGGTATTAGAGACAGATTGAGTTGCTGGGTATTACTTTGGGGCTGATTTATAAAGGCACAAAGGAAGTATACTCCCAGTAGCCCTGTGAGGTGATCTGTAGATTCTGGCATCAGTAGATTAGAGAACTCAAATTAAGATACATTAGTTGATTCAGTGACTTTTGGCATAGCTGCAGTGTTTGCTCCATAGCATTAATAGCTCACTTCTTGCTTATATTCAACTTCCTGATGAGCTGGTGCTCCAGTTTTCATACATTAGCCCTTTAGGTGGCAATATTTTTTTTTAGAAGCCTTTTAATTGTACCAAGAAGTTAGACAGTGGGTTTGGTTTGTTCCTGTATTTCTGTGAAAGCCAGAGACCCCTCTGTGTGACTTTGAAGGGTGTCAGAATCATTTGAGGTAGGGTTGCACAGATACCAAGTACAGTACTCGGTACGAGTACATGTACCGATACTTTTGAGCTCCAAGACTAGACTAGAGAAAAATTCAAAAGTTAGGAGGCAGCTGTCATTTGTTAGGAGCACACGGAGCTCCCGGGATTTGTACATCTCTGTTTTAATGTACGATTTTGTTTTTATAAATATACTGTAAATAAAGGGATGCACAGATACCAGTTTTGCGAATACGAGTACTGGTACTTGCCGAGTACTTACAAGTACGAGTACTGATACATTTTTGTTTATTGTCATGTGACAGTTTTTCTAAAACAATACAGACTAATGATTTCAGGACAGTGGTGGAGTGCCAGAGCCAGGTCCCAGCTGCAACCGCTGCAACCCTGGTAGTTCTCATGAAAATGCCAAGTATCTGCACTGATACTCGAAAAGTATCTGTGCATCCCTAATTTGAGGGGATTTTTGTTTTCTATACGGATATCT